ACCCTCCTGGTGCTGCTGGGCAGCCCTGGCTCCAAGTGACTGTCAAATTAAGTCCTCTTGCTGCCATCCCATCAGCATCTGTCCTGGGGATGATGAATACTGGAAGAGACACAGGGCAATTAAAGATTGACTCTGTTTGTTTTAATTAAAATAAAGACATTATCTTTAGCCTTTTTTATCGCTTTCCTTGGATTTTTAATTAAAAGCTTCAGAAAGAAGGCATTTATTCTCTTATATATCATCCATGAACAGTTCAAGATTAATTAGTCTTTCACCCATTTTAAAGGTATCATCTATATCCTGAAGGCAGAGTATGGTGTTTGGCAGCCTCTTCAATCACTTCAAATTCTTCTCTGTGTACCGTATAAATAATCTGTGGAAAAATTACACTGTTCTGTGAATAGCTGCAGATACAAATGGCATATTCTGTGAAGATCCCTTGTGTAGGAAGGAAGCAAAAAAGCTGCCTTCCAGGCTGCAGAAGATTGGTTTCTTATTTAGGAAAAATAAATAATTTGAATTAGTTTGACATTCTTAGTGTGTAACTAAGCAGAAGTCACAGTGTGCCTTGATCATATTTGTCCCAGGTAGCTGGGACAAATGGGAGGTGTTGGCTGGAAAATGCCCAGTATCTAGTACTTGCTGTGCACTGGCTTTAATGGTCTGACCTCAGCTCTGTTGCTCGTTAACCAGCAGGTTGTGATTGCAACATCCTGGGGGGTTATGCATGGCATAGAGTGAGTGCAGAGGGGTTTGGGTGGTGGGGAGGATTAAAGGGGGAGACCAATTTTGAGTGGGAAGGGGTTGGGTTGCTGGAAGGGGTCTGCCTGTGGCAGAGGCTAAGTGGAGGGTCTTGCCTGGGCCACCCTGGGTATGTGTGCTCATGTGCTGACCATCCTCCCTCTGCTTTCAGCCCTGGCTCTGCTGGTGACCCATATCAGTCACACGTCAGCTCTTTCTGTTTGCTCTTGATATAGCTGCCTCCCCCCAGCAACAGCCCATAAATGTTTTCTTCTGCTCCAAAGGTGGCTAATTTGAGCATCAGTGCAGAATAATGTTTTTAATATCTTCAGAACTTAATTACTTTTTACTACCTTTTAAGAAGTTTCTGGAAATGACAGTTACAATACTTCATTCCCAAACAGTTCTTGCCTACGTGGAACTTTTAAGTCCATTATGTGCACTGGTGGTTCCTGGTTTAACATGTGTTTTTCAGTACCACTATGGTCAGAGGTTAATTTCTTCACTGTTCTGAGAAAGCCAGCATAGCTGAAGATGGCCTTTTTCAGCTATACACAGAGGCTTGGTAGCTCAGGGCCTCGAGCTGTCTTCTTGCTCCTTGGCTCTTATTTTTTTCTGAAACTTTGCTGAAATGAATGAATTTCACAAATATTGCTGTTTCTTCTCCTGTGGGACAGAAAAACACTACTCCAAAAGTGCAGATCTGGTGGGACCACCATCATTAGGTGCAGAAGACATACTAGGCTTAATAGAAGTCAAGCTCATTGACCTCCTTTGAAAAATTTTTTATACACTTACATGTCCAAATAGCAATAAAACCAGATTGTTATGACTTCCAGCCTTGTAAAGTGTTAGGAGATGAGGTGGTGGTACAAATCATACATGTTTCACAAATACAGTTCTCTGAACACTGAAGTGGAAAATCTTACTCAAGAACCTGGCAAACCAGGATTAGTTTTACTGAATTTTAGGTGAAAAACATGGTGGAACTTGCTGCAAATCATTGATTGGCAGAATAAAGGACTTTTTTCCCCTCAGCAATGTCATTTTGAAAAGACTTAACTGCACAGTTAATATTTGAAAAATGTTATGCTTTCTGTGTATTTGATATTTAAAACAAGATCCTGGGTGAAAGTACTTCCTTGTCTCTTGTCTTTATTAGTTGAAACCCTAGAGGGAAGGGATGCCATCCAAAAGGACCTTGACAGGCTTGAGAAATATGCTCATTCAAACCGCATGAAGTTCAGCAAGGCCAAGTGCAAGGTCCTGCATCTGAGTCAGGGCAATCCCAAGCACAAATACAGACTGGCTAGAGAACGGATCAAAAACAGTCTGGAAGAGAAGGACTTAGGGGTTATGATGGATGAGAAGCTCAACATGAGCTTGCCATGTGCACGTGCAGCCCAGAAAGCCAACCATGTCTTTGGCTGCGTTGAAAGAAGAGCAGCCAGTAGGTCAAGGGAAGAATTCTCCCCCTTTACTCTGTTCTTGTGAGATCCCACCTGGAGCTCCCAGCATAAAAAGGACATTGAGTTGTTGGAGTGAGGCCAAGGAAGGGCCAGGAAGATGATCTGAGGGCTGGAGCAGCGCTCCTATGAGGACAGGCTGAGGGAGGTGGGGCTGTTCAGCCTGGAGAAGAAAAGGCTCCAGGGACACCTTATAGCACCTTCTGGTGCCTGAAGGGGCAACAGGAAAGCTGGGGAGGAACTTGTTGCAAGGGTGTGTAGTGAGGTGACAAGGGGTAATGGAGCAGAATTGGAAGAGGGGAGATCTAGGATAGACATTAGGAAGAATTTAGTGTGAGGGTAGTGAGACACTGGAATAGGTTGTCCAGGGAAGTTTTAGAAGCCCCATCCCTGGCAGAGTTCAAGGCCAGGTTGGATGAGGCTCTGAGCAACCTCATCTAGTGGGAAGTGTCCCTGCCCATATAGGGGAGTTGGAACTAGGTGATCCTTAAAGTCCCTTCCAACCCAAACTGATCTATGATTCTATGGCAAAATAGAAGAGTCCCTACTCGAGACAGACCAAGTAGAGTTGGCAGTTGTTATCCTGCAGCATGCAGTGAGGAACTTTGCTTTCTGACAACCTAATCTTATGTTTTGTGACAGTGACTGGTGCTGGGGGTTTTGAGTCTTTTTAATTAATGTGATTTTTAAGCTGGTGTACTCTGAGGACTGTCAATAAGGAATTACTTCCATATATATAACATTGAATAGATGCTACTATATTGTAAGTCCCAGGCTGTACCCACAAACTCAGGACTGGGGGACAAACCTGTGAAGTCCAGAAAACAAATTTGTTGCTGGAACAATTTGTGTTAAAAACCTGTGTAGTTGGGCAAGGATAGTGCTGCTTTATTTCAGCCATCATAAACAACAGCTGTTACTGGGAATACAATTTGAAGAAGGGGTTTTTAAATGTGGAAATCCACGGAATTCTTTTCAAAGCATGACTGCAGGTGTGTGAATGAGGACACACACAGGTGTGTGAATGGAGACTCTTTGGAGAGGAATTGGGAAATCATCCTTCTGATAACTGGGGTAGACACGTGCTTCATCCCTCTCTCACAATCAGCTCTTGAACTCAGCTCTCCATGTGAGGGCAAAGATCGAGTTATTCTTAAGTGAGGGTCTAGTCAGGGTGTGTATTTTGAGGAGTTGGACCAGGTTCTTCCAAAGGTGTGAAGGTGTGCTACAGCATCTGGTTGGCATTAATCAAGTGCGTTAATGAGTAACCAACTTTCCAGCTGTTGGTTTACACATAAAGTGCAAATGAGCTCATGAAATATTTTAATGAATCTTTGCCTCTTTGCGTTCAGGTTTCTGGTTTGTTGGTTGTTGTTTTTTAAGCCGAATGACACTGTTTGCTCTGTGCTTTTTTTTGACTTGATGCCTGTATCCTGTTGTGGATAATCCCCACCTATTCATGGCAAATAAGCATTTAAATGCTGTCACTTAAATGTCGATTGTTCAGAGATTAGGGATGGAATGGCATTGTGCCTCTTATCTTTCCTGAACGTTTATTGTGCTCTGTATGCTGGATCAGTGAGAAGCTATTGTTGCAGACAAAAGAATGGCTTTTGTATGTCATTTTTCTGATTTCCAGCCCGTGCTTGAAAAAATAGTTCTAAAATAATGGGTTTCTGTAGGATTGCTGTAATTCAAAAGGTCATCTAGGCAATAATTATCTTATGCATTTAGCTTAAGGAATTCGAAAGCACAACATTAAGTCTAATTCTATCTTTCCAGGTGGAATTATTAAATTCTGCTTGTAGGTGTCCCAGAACACGAAGACCAGACGTAAATTTAGAGAGTTTTCACAAAAAGATGCCAATCTAAATTTTCAATTTATATCAAGATTAATCAAGGTTTTGATTGAACCTCTGACAATGCAAAGGTAGCAGAAGCGTGTTTAAAATATTTGAGGAAAAGTTTCATGAGCAGTAAGCTGAAAAGGGTAAATCATCACTAGTTCCTAGTGAAACTGTCCATTACAGAAATAAATCTTAAAATAATCATAAGTTTTAAACCCAAGATTCTAGACACCTGAAAATTAATGAAGATGAATGCAACATACAGTGAACTGGGGTGTGTTTTGGTGCTTCCTTGTATTTGTAGCATTCCCATCATCTTCAGAATTGAGCAATGAGAGAGATGGGGGTAATATTTTGACTATTTAAACATAGATACTCAGTACTTTATTACTGGTTCTGTGTGAAGCTATTGCACTGTGTGTGTCTCTGGATTTTGCTTAGCTGAGATCTGTTATGTGTAGGACTGAAGGATAATATTTTAAAAAATGAATTTGTATTGCAAAAACCTTTTATCCCTGTGAACTTGAAATCCCAGCGTGGCTTTGGTGCTGCATGCTGGAGTTCATGCTGTCTGGTCTCCTGATCTCAAGATTTATATCCTTCACTATCAGCAGTTAAAGCAATTTGTCAAAAGTTTGGTGGTGGAACCCAAAGCTGTATTTCTTACCTGCACAGAGCTGAGTTACATCTTTACTTCAGCTCTGAACATTTAGATGAGTTGGTTGGATCTAGATGATCTTTGAGGTCTCTTCCTACCCAAACTATTCTATCATTTAAATCTGCCCCAGCTCTTGCACCCTGCTGGTACCCAAGGATGTAGCATAGCAATCTCTTCCCTCCCTGCTCCCCATACATCTCCCAAACTACAGATAACACAGTTAGTGGGTTGGAGAAATGTAATTTTTGAAGATCACAGAAAAACAAATGTGTATTTTTCTTTTTGCAGGTCTTTTTGGTTCAAGTTAATCCAGGTGAAACCTTTACAATAAGGGCTGAGGATGGAACCCTACAGTGCATCCAAGGTAAGAGGATACATCAATGTGTGGATGAGCCGTGTCTGGGTTAAGGAAAACTTGTTCTCTCCTCTCTAAAAAATGTGATATGCAGTTCTGAAAATAGAGGGAAGCACTTGAGAGAGAAGTGGCAGACATGACTGCCATATGTGTTTTAGGGCTTTAATATCTCAGAGTCATCTATTTCTTGCAAGTCCAGTATTTTACTCTCTGTTCAGTCACTTATCAGCATTTTTTATTTTTATATGCGTATTTCTATCTATCCAAATAGTAAATACAAATGAGAGATCTCAAGTTAGATAGAAAACTGTTAGCAAATTAAGTGGATATCTATGGAAAAACTATTCTTCTATTGGGAGGAATAGAAAATGAGAAGTACAGACATTGCAGAGTGCTTGAAGCAGTCAGGTTGTGTTTGAGGAGAATTTTAAATGAGTTCTTTAGAAGCAGAGCCAGTGAATTATGTAGTATTGAGTAAAGCATATAAGCAGTCTTTTGACTGCTGTTTTACCTCTCAGTAAAATTGTGCAAATATGATAAATAGCACTTGTGTTTTTTATGAGGGGGAGCCCATATAAGATCTTTTAAAAAGGTCTGAAGGGAGAAGCTGTAACAGACCTTTCAGATTGTATATTAAGTACTGTGAAGAGGGTTTCTAGCAAGTAGCAAACACAGCTTTGAAATGAAGCAGGTATTTCCCCAGGTATAACACTGTCTACAGTAAATACAGGAAGGTTAAATAAAAATTTAATGGGAATAGACTTTGTGTAGCTGTGCTGCTAATATAATTTTCACTTATATTTTCTGAGCTTATGCCATTATCTTATTTTTTTTGAGAAGGGAGATAGGTGGTATTGCCTCTCCCATCCCATCCAGATCTTATGCCATTAAGCAGCAATCTCAGCGGGCTTATTCAGTCGAAAGCCTTTCCTAAAAAAGTAATAGTAATGGGAGGGGAGAAGTCAGTTTAGTAACTGTATAGCTAGTGAATTGCCCCTGCATTTTGACTGTGGATTGCAAATCTACTCATGAAGGGCTATTCTTAGACTGCAGCAAATACTAAAATCATATTGCTCGAGGATAGCTGTGCATTTTACTAAAATTGGGATTAAAAGGGAGCCCTGGAGGTCACCTTATCCAGCCTTCTGCTGAAAGCAGAGATGATGTCAGAGATGAATCTGGTAGTCCGCCACCTCCTGAGTTGTGAAGCTCTCTGGGGATGAAAGTTGCTCCCTGGGCAAACTGCTCCAGTGCTGCACCTTTCCCATATGGAAGAGATTGTCCTTTATATCTGTGTGAAATTTCCCATCTTGCAGTCTCTTTGCATCTTTTCTGCATCTCCCTCATTTAAGCCATGGAGTTGGTGGTGGTTGTTGCTTGAAATTTCATCCCCATGGAAATGAGGAATTAATAGTGGTTTGAGACAGACATTACGGAAGCTTCCCTGAACACCATCCAGGATTATACAGTCTTGATGAGCAATAATAGCAGCAATTTCAAATTGCTTGTTAAGATTTAAAGCCAACATCCTGTGTGGTAAGAAATTAGTCCACGTGGCAGGTAACAGAGGAGTAAAGCTGGCTACTCCCTTTATTTGAAACGAATGCTTTATATTGGTTATTACATAAAACATTTCCATTACAAATACAATGCTAACATGATCTAGAATTCTTTTTCATGCTCAGAGTGTTGTTCAGACAGAATATTTAAATGAATGTAACTTGAAACCTCCTGGTCCTGTGCTCCAAATAATTTGACATGTTTGTGCCAATGGGGTTTGATTGGTACTCACCAGCAGTCTTTCCTAAAACTAATTTAGAATTTGTAGCATAACATTTTCTCCTTTTTTTTTGGTAGAGCTGCAGTATGACCACCAAAGCACACGTGTTTATTTGAACACACCCTTTAAGTTCAGTCTGAAAATTTGGATACACTTTTCATACTGAAGCTTCAACTCCCTATTTTATTGTGAAATATTTTTGTTGCTGAAATCAGTACGTGCTTCAAACAAAGAAAAGCACCTGACTCTGTAGCTTTTTTCTTTTGGCAAAGATGTGTTCACAGTACAATTGTGGAATTTAAATAATACTAATAGCCATCAGGCATGGAAGAAACTGTGATCAGCCAGAAAATACACAAAGATTAGGATTCATGACAGTTCTCTTTTTCCTGTGCTCTGAGGTTATTGTAAAAGACAGGCTTATTTTGCGTGCAGTGTTTTTGGAAATTACACACCCTCTTGTTCCACAAAACTTAAATGCTGGAGGTTTTTTCTCCCCCCGTGATAGGATACCCTGTATGCTTAAAGGTTAATGTATTCCCTATATGTGGGGCAGCACGTAGACAATAATAAGTGTTTTCCTTTGGTCCCACATTGCACTATGATTAGCAAGCTATGGAATAATTTTAGCACTATGTTAAGGCAGCCTGAGAGTCTCTTTTTGGACAGTGTGTTTGCCTGTGAGCTGGGAGCTCCCTGTTGAACAGACTTTACTTGCTTTTTCCTTATTGCCACGTATTCAGTGTTATGACATAAAATGTGCTTGTAAACAGAGTTCATTTTTATTCACAGTATGAGGAGTTACTTTTAAGTGTGTGATTCTTCTGAGTTCATGCAGTGAACACTTACTAAAAATTGGAGATGTCATGACTAGGTTACACTATATTCTTCAGGATATAGGAAAGTTTCTCTTTCCTTTGGCAAGTATCTGTTCTGCAGGGGCAGCTAACTTTGCTTATATAGTGTCATTTTTGTCTTTGTGGAAGCATTTTGTTTCATATGGCTTTTTGAGAAGTTTGAAGTCTTTGGTGTTCTCCTGGAGCCTGTTTTGGATGTATCCAGGACCCTGTTTGACTCCATGGCTATGGTTTATATGAGGATGGGTGGGGATAACTTGTGTTAGATGACTGATATGAAAATGGCAGAGAAAAAGTCTTTGTGAATCTTCATTTGTCTTCTCAAGGTTGGAAGGGCACTTATTTGAGGAAAGCCTCTATGGAATATCCTCTGTTTTAAGCACCCCGGGGTGTAATTAGCCACCAGTTGAGTAATCAGTATTTAAAACCAGAAAGAATAGATGCACATTTGAAAGTCTCTGATATGTTGGAATAGTGGAGAAATCTGAACTACAGTAACTTTTTCCAAATCCTTAAGATTTCACTAGTCAGTGAAAACGTAAAAAAAACCCAAAAACCTGAGAAACCACCCCCTACAGTTCTGTAGGACTGAAATAACTGTGCTTTTAGTTGAACATGCAGTGTGTTAGAGCAAGTGCTGCCTTCCTTCCTGTGTTCTGCTTGCCTGTAGCCAGAGGTGAATTGTTTAATTCATAAGCCACACATGTCCTGGTGTGGGGCTGGATTAAACTGCTTGGAGAAGTTTAGCTGGTCAGTGGACATGAAGAAGTTTCCTTGAGAGGACAGATCTAAGGAGCCTGAGAAATCTGGTCTTTTGGAGAAATCCAACCTGAAGCAGTGCCCATGCTGGGTTATTTAGGGAAGCATGTGAGGGGCTCCAGGTGCTCTCACCAGGAATGGTGTTACCAACTGATAATATGATTTTGCGTATTATGACAAATCATTAGTATCCTTCCTCTTAAAATCCCGGTATCCCTGGGGATCTGGGGAGGAAAGCCCTGCTGGTCCTGCCCCGCTGCCTGCTCAGCCCTGCTGAGCTCTGCCTGCAGAGCTGTACCTCTGTGGGTGGTTGAAGGGAGACTGATTTAAGGTCTTAATTTGGTATTTGTGAGAGGTGAAATGTGCATGTATGTTGTATCATCAGTATTTTAAAAGCTGCTCCTTTAAAATAGTTTTGACAGATAATAAATACTTCATAAATACTTCAATACTTGAAATACTTAATTTCCTTTTTGTGTTTTTTTCACTTAATTTGTCACAAACTCAGGACTTGGCTGTTGCTAGCTCTGCAAGGAAAGGACAAGGGCAAGGCATAGCCTCGCCCATTTCTTTTTTCAGCTGTAACTGTAGACCTTGTATTCCCCTTTATATGAAAGATTGCTTCTAGCTTGTGTTTAGAGGAAGCCACACTGAATGAAATACAGAAGGGGAGAGTGGGGATCTGATCAGCAGCAGGGTGGCACTCAACCCTCCCCTGTATTTGAAAAACAATTATTCTGCTTTCTGAATTTTAGAATAAATAGTTTCTGGGTGAATCTGTGGTGTTCGCTTTTAGGCAGTATTTTAAGACCTTTGGTAGGAACTTATATTGCTGCATGAGAACTACGTTGTATAATAAACAATGTAAAAATAAAGCAATTTGTGCATAGTTAGTGGGGCTGTTCCCAAGCATCTGTTCAGTGCTTTTTCATCCTGGAAGGCAGTAATGCCAAGCTGTTGTGTGCACTGCCCTGTGATACAAATATGGACAAAATGATTATTCTGGTGTAACTTGAACTTGCTTGTCACCCACATGCTGAAAATATCTATGTAGAGAGACCTTGATGCAGACTGAATAACACTTTGATCCATTGATGATGCAGAATTGCTCCCTTACTGCTATCTGTACCTTCTGTTGCCATCTATCTAAATGATAACCAGGCTGGGTCTCATTTTCTGTCACAAACAAACTGGGCCAAGTGTTCTGTAATTTTCTGTGTGTGTAGCATGTGAAAAGCCTGTAACAAGGACTGCAGAAAGAGGCAGCAGAAAAGCACCTGGTGTGATGAACGTTTTTGGTGTATTCAGTCTAACCCACTGTTGAAAATACCCTCTTAAAAATTATCTGTTATCTTTCTGCAGTATCCCAGCACTAGGTTTGGAATAGTGAAGCACAAAATCTGAATGCAAAGAAAACAAATAAGCTCAGGAGAAGAAGTCACGCTTTCAATTGTAGCATTTCTGCATTGAATGGGCTTTTGTTTTTGATGTTTTCAAGGACGAGTAAAGACGTGCAGTGGCATGGAGGGGTTGTAGCTATGTTTAAACGTGAATATCTGTGCAGCAGAAAAGGACCTAAATTGCCTTTGGGTGGTTACATTTTGAAATGAAAA